CCTGCATGCTCTGGAATGACACTCAATCCGCCGTGAATGTCTCCAGCTCCTTGAAGAATGGACGTGTGTTATTCAGACACAGTGCGGGAAGGGAGAGCTCTGGGCAAGCACAGGCCAGTTTAAATTGGCGAAGGTGATGTCAAATCCAGGTTGCAACTTTTCCTGATACGGGTTCGGGATACAGGACTAACAGGTTTCTCTTTAAACCCAGACAAATCTTCCTAGAATCGGAAACCTAATCTTGCCGAGGAGGCTGGGCGAGACTGCTGAGTGGAAAACAAGGCACAGTTTAGCTTTACAAAACACACTCGTTAAACAGAGGCTAAACCAGCATAGAAAAATATTTGAGTTATTTTATAACTCCCTACATTAAATATATATGTTTTACTGTGTAATGTTAAAGTAGCAAGTACATTTGATGTTCTCTGTTGATTTTTTATCACAATCTGAAAGTGCGGGGGATTAGAGGTTAGGATTGAGGACGCCTGAAGTGAAGTGTGTGTGTGGGTACCCAACGCTGCTTGCTCCAGTAAAACCATCGCTGTACAGTTGTAAGCATCTTATCAGTTAAAACTGTCAGCCAAATTCTAACGTATATGGCGTTATTTTGATGCAGCTGTCAGGTCCTTCAGTAAATTCATGTCTTCTCCGAACGTTTCCAGTCTGCCCATCTGAGGGCCGAAGGAGGCGCGCGGGCGGAAACGGGGGCTTTAGAGAAGATTCCGACCCGCGGGTACGGTTACCATGGAGCTACCGGTACAGTAATCTGGGGAGAGACGGGGGAACTTCCGGTACGGTTACCATGGGAATGGTTGTATATCCATTGTATAGTGAGGGGTTGACCCTGAAAACATTGTGACCTACGGAAGGAAAATCAACAAAGGTGCCTAAGGAGTAAGACTCCTCAGAAAGAGGAATAAAAGACTTAGAGTAGGGTACAACTATCCCCACAGTACCCCGCCGTGACACACACGACTGCACCCGTGGGTAACTTTGATGCCGCTTGTTTCTGGTTGTCTTCGTCTCAAACAGATTTTAATTACATCATTGAACCACTGTAGTGGATTAGAAGTCACCCTGCTATATTTTATAGGTCTTAATCTAATTGAAAGTTGCCCTGAATCCCGCCGAACCCCTACAGTTGCGGGCAGGCGTGCTGACCCCCGTCTTGAGTCAATGAGTCAATGAGTTAATTCATGGGTTAGAAAGTTGACCAGCTCGCTCGGAGATGCAGGTTTCCAGTCTCTGTAGCTGCGCCCGCACTTGTTTGTAGGGTATAGCTGCCCTATAGCTGCCGGTGTGTTTATAGAGCATAACTGCGCAGCCCCACAAGTTATTGGTATAAATGACAGGCGGCGTGACTGCTGGTTTATTTAATTATTTTTTTCAGTCACAGCTCTAACAGGATTTGCACGCTCCACGTCAGCTATTCAGAGAACTTATATATAAGTGTGCACTTCTCATCACGATCCTTCCAGATAGACTTCCAGTTTATTTGAAATAGTTCTACATCAATATTGTTTTTCACTGTTTCGAGTTTCCCGACATCTAAAGGCAGTGTCTAGGTTTACTTTGATTTTTCCTGGGCGCCGTAGAACTCGTTTTTGACCTTATACCTATCCAGAGAGAGTTCATAGAATTAAGATGGACTCGCTCTGCAGCCGGAGAAAAGGATTTAGCGACAGAGGGAAATTCTAAAACTTACTTTGATATTTTGTGTTAACCAACACTAAATAACGGAGAGATTCCCCCTCTGGTGTCTGTTGTTTTTTTTACTGCAGAATAGCGCGCACGCCACTCAGGGTAAGAACAGGCTAATTAACAGGTTAATTAAACGGTGGGTCGGGTTCCCCGCAGCTCGACAGTCTCGCCAGGAATCTGTAGGACCTGTGCTATCCCTCGCACCCCACACACCACGCATCACACACCGCGCCCAGTTCACTCCACAGGCTGCGTGGAGCAGGTGGGGATCGCGCTGCGGGAGGTACATTTCTCTGTGCTAATTCATTTATTCCAATACCACACTATTGACGTTAGTGAAAACAGTCACAGCGACCCAAAGCTAATCCCTGAGCCGTGATGTTAATTACTCTTGTAAAACATGTCTGACAAATCAACTGTTTAAGAGAATGCGCGAGAAATGTCTTTCTTATTTTTTTTCTGGGCACTGTAGAACTCGTTTTGGGGAGTTTATAAAGAGGGTTCGTAGAATTACGAAGGGGCTCACTAAATGACTGGGTTTATAGTTCGGTTGTCAATGATTATACACCCCTGAATTGAACGTTGTCCCGAACATTTCGCCGCCCTGAGTGAACCTGCTTGCTGTCTGCTCTAAGAAGGGCGCTAAAAGGACAAGTCGCCAAATGTACAGTCTGTTTCAAGATCGAGCCACGACTCCAGATCACTTCGAGTGTTTCATTTCATTTCAAGGCCCAAGAAGTGAGCGACCCTCCCTCGTCGAGTCCCTGCTGGTCATCGCTGTGGTCTCTTCGATGCTACAGTCACTACCGCTGTCACTGTCGAGCGCTAACAGGACTCTATTTTTACTATCAAAATGAACGGGAGTTTTGCGGAGCGCCGCTTCTCCACCCCAGATAACTAACCGTGCACTTACCTGGCTGTTAGATAAGATATTTGATCTGGCGGGGAGCGCGTCTGCAGCCGGCTGCCGCGATTGTCGCTCCAAGTTTCCAACACAAGAGGAATCTGCAATCTGAACTCGGGAGCGTCAGGCGCTGCGGTGTCCCTCCCTCAAGATCTCCGCCCCCGTCCCCTCTCCCTGGGAGATCCCGGGTAACATATCCACAATCCAGATCAGAGCATCTCCAGGACCAGAACCGGTTTGGCGAGCCACAGCACCGGCACAGAAACGGGAGCAGCTCAGACCTTTGAGATTTCTGCAACGGTAACAGCGCAGGAAGACGTTACGGATACCCTGTACCTTGTACCGAGACATTCCGTCTTACTGAGACACTTTAACTCAGACTCTGCATTACCAAGAGCCTCACTGTATTCCGGAGACTTTCACATCGTTGCTGACTTTACTGCGTCTCTCTGTTACTGAGACTCTGTATGACTGAGCCTCTCCGTCTTTAAATTCACATTCAAAGAGCTTTATGGCCTTGACCAACGAGTTAGTGTTGCCAAAGCAAAAACAATTAGTCATCACATTTCCAGCAAAAGGAGCAGTATGGTGGTGCAGTGGTCAGGTTTTGCTGCCTCACAGTGCTGGGGCCCTGCGTAGAGTTTGTAAAATCTCCCCATGTTCCTGGGGGTTTCCTCCCAGTCCAAAGACATACTGTACTGGTAGGTTACTTGGCTTCTGGGGAAAATGGCACTGGTGCGAGTGTGAGTGTAATAGTGTCTGTGTGCCCTGCAGTGGACTGGTATCAGTATATTAATTCACTGGCATCCTGTCCAGGCTATATCCTGTCCTGTGCCCATTGCTTTCTGGGATTGGCTCCAGCTCCCCACAACCCTGTACTGGATAAAGCAGCTAGAAATTAGATGGGTGAATTTACAGCAAAAAATATTATTAGACATTTAGAAAAAATATTCAGTCTCATTTTCTCTTCCTTAGGCTGCGACAGGGGATCATATACTGGGTTGCAGCTCCACTGAGTTTCCTCTCCCAGTAGGACTGGATACTGTTCTGATTCTGACAGGAGTGGCTATTCTGGGATTAAAGTTGTTTGTTATTTTTAAGGAAGAATGTTTGTCTAATTCCAGAATTCACAGTGCAGTAGGAAGTGCTTCTCTGTCTCTGTTTCTCCCTTCTGGCAGTGGGAGCACCGCCTGTCCTCTCTGGGCAGCCAGGTCTGCCTTTTGTCCAGTTTCTGTGGTCAAGCTGTGTCACTGAGCCTGTCCTCTCATGACAGTCAGGTCTGCCTGTGTCCAGTTTCTATGGCCAGGCTGTGGTCACTGAGCCTGTCCTCTCTGGACAGCCAGGTCTGCCTGTGTCCAGTTTCTATGGCCAGGCTGTGGTCACTGAGCCTGTCCTCTCTGGACAGTCAGGTCTGTCTGTGTCCAGTTTCTATGTCCAGGCTGTGTCACTGAGCCTGTCCTCTCATGACAGTCAGGTCTGCCTGTGTCTAGTTTCTATGGCCAGGCTGTGGTCACTGAGCCTGTCCTCTCTGGAAAGTCAGGTCTGTCTGTGTCCAGTTTCTATGTCCAGGCTGTGTTACTGAGCCTGTCCTCTCTGGACAGTCAGGTCTGCCTGTTTCCAGTATCTATGGCCAGGCTGTGGTCACTGAGCCTGTACATCATCATTGTTTGTTTCTTCTTGCTTTCTCTTACCCTGGTCAGATACACAGCCAGTATGTATTGTATTTTCATTGTCCTCTCTACATCACTGAAAATCTCTCCAAATGTCTGTTTTGTCTCTTAATGTTAGAAATCCTCCATTTCCCTGATCACACATTTATTTGCACTCTCAGGCCAACAACGGGGCAGTAATTAACCCAGATTAGTGAGTGCTTTGTGCAACACAACCAGTCAGCAGTAAAACCAAGAATGATTTGTGCAGTGATGTTCTCTGGTTACTGCACTCTGAAAAAAGCCCTCACAGGACAAAAGCTCAGAGAATCTGAGAGGCCACAGCATTGTTGCAGGTATGGGAGGGAAAGGATGAGAAAGCACTCTGCTGTTTGGTGTTCTTAGCTGTCCTGACAGTCCTTCCCTTTACTGTAAATCCTCCTACAACCACATACATAAGTAAATATATTGTGACATGTTTTCAAAACATACCTGAGCAAACACAACAGTCATAGCGTCCCGTTAAAAAATGCCACCAGTGTTTTGCCACACTTTCCCACATACTTCCCATTCAATACTGCAATTCTCCCCACCACAATCCTCCCTGCAATAATCCATACTCTCCATCCAAATCTACCTCTTCTTCCGCAGATCTGCCCACAATTCTCTGCACCTCTCCATCCTTCTCCATATCACCTGTTTTTCTGTTCCTCTCCACAGTTCTCTGTACCTCTCCATCCTTCTCCATATCCACCTGTTCTTCTGTTCCTCCCCACAGTTCTCTGTACCTCTCCATCCTTCTCCATATCCACCTGTTCTTCTGTTCCTCTCCACAGTTCTCTGCACCTCTCCATCCTTCTCCAGATCCACCTGTTCTTCTCCAGACCTCTCCACAGTTCTCTGTACCTCTCCATCCTTCTCCGTATCATACCGTGTTAGGTGATGTGCACTCATTGTGGAACAAGCTAGACAAAATGCAAGATAATGTCAGTTATCATTACAAGTATAGGGATGCATCTGTTCTCACTTTTACAGAGAAGTAGCTAAAGAACCTGTCCACCAACCAGGGCTTTTTAATTAATGGTTTTGAAGCACCAGTCTGCCTTGATAGAGAAAAGACAGTACCGGTAAGGAGATGGGGGATGAGGTCTATATCTACATTAAGCAGAGGTGGTGTAAATGGGAAACAGTGGGAGAGCAGCTCTGTGTATCAGATATATAACTTTTGTCTGTTTCACTCTGCCTATACTATTTACCATGTGAGTTTCCACAACTTATTTTTGTTAGTGTGTATTTATCATCTTTCCAATGTAAACAAGGCGGCTGCATACATTGTTAATGTTATTAACAAACTGGATTCCACCTCTGCTGAGGCCCCTATGTTTATTTTAGGTGATCTTAATCATTGCTCTCTGGAAAGTGATTTAGCATATCTCCAGTATTTCAGCTGTGCTACACGTTATAAACAAGGCCTTGACAGGTGCTGTGACCTTCTCCCTGGAGCACATAGGTCATTCATCATGCCTGGTCTTGGTTCTGTTGACCATAACGCCATCCTGCTTGATCCTCTAGGTAACTGTCGAGGCAGTTGGGAAGACAGCTGGAGTAGGGTCAGAATCAGGTACTGACACTTTGAAAGGCTGCCCTGACTGCACTAATTGGGATGATCTCATAGGTTCTCATTAAGATCAGAGTATGGTGTTATCATACATTACTTTTTGTGTTCATAAATTCCCCCCAAGAGCATCAATATATATTCAAATAATACACCATGGCTCACCAAAGAGCTCAAGAGTATTCTTAATAAAAAAGAAGGGGCTGCTCTACTGTAAGACTGTACTGCAAATAAAGAAGTTACACATGCAATAGAGCAGCAAAAAATATCTAAAAAATAAAGTGGAGGAGAAATTTAAAAGCAAGGCAATCTCCGCACTGTCTGGCAGGACATTAAACCAAAGGGCCTAAGTGAATATCTATGAGGGCCGCAAATCCATCCAGGTAGATGGAATTAGCATAGAGATCCGTTAAATGTGTTTTTTACTGTTTTTGAAAAGTATTATTTCTTCTCCCAACTTAATGATCTCCAACGGTAGCTTACTCCAGGAACTGCAAATACCAACTTGTGTGGTCGCGAACTCTGGTAGAAAGACGCCAGTCAACACAGCTGCAGGTCCAGGTGGAACCTGTGGCTGAACACTAAAGTATTGTCTGAAGAGCTGAGGGGAGAGAGTCAGCAGCTGTTCCAGCTCTCTGTAGACACTGGCACCGGCCCTGCTGTTTGGACACACTCCACAGCTCTACCTGCTCCCAAGAAGAACAGACTAAAAGCTCTCAATGCCTTGAGGCCGATAGCTCTGGCTCCATTAGTGATGCAGGCGATTGAAGAAAATAGTCAAGTCACATACTGTGGCTGCAACAGAGTCGGATCTTGACCCTCTCCAGTTTGCCCCCCGGAAGAAGAGTTGACAATACTATTTTTTCCACTAGATGTTCTTTATGAACATTTAGAGCTAAAGAATTCTTCAACTAGACTTCTCTTGGCTGATTTTCATCACCAATTCAGGGTCGTGGGGGGCCAGAGCCTATCCCAGAAAGCGCTGAGCACAAGGCAAGGTACACCCTGGACAGAACTCCAGCCCATCACAGGGCACACACACAAACACCAACACCAATTTTACCAGAAGCCAATTAACCAACCAGCTGACTGTGGGAGGAAACTGGAAGACCGGGATGAAACAAACATGAACACTGGGAGAACATGCAAACTCCACCCAGAAAGCACCCCAGGAATTGAACCCAGGGCCACAGTGCTGTGAGACAGCAATGCTAACCACTGCGCCATCATGCTGCCACTGTGTGGTATTCTAGGATATTCAACACTGAGACAATTTCCTACTGATTTATTTGCCATGCATGCCACATTCACTCAGTGTCCATGATCTGTTTCAATGTGACGCACTGATTTTACTGAGTACCTTTTCAGGTGTGTCTGTGCTGCGCTGCTCTATTTATAAATACATTAGTCAAGCGTGGTTTGGAAAATAGCCAGTTGTGTACTTTGCTGCAGTGGGTGGGAATCTCTCACCTCAGACGCTCCTCCTCCTACTCGCGCTCCCTAATCCGTTTCCCAGCCGAGCCGCAGGGAAACCTGCCGGACCGGAGCGGCCAGTCTCCCACGCTGGGACACGCTGCTGCCTGCTCCTGTCAGCCCGAGAGTCAGGGAGCGGCTGGGATAGGAGGCACCTGACCCGACGCTGCTGGGGTGTCTGGTGGGGACACGTCGATTCCAGCTTCCACACAGAGTGGGGAGCCAATCAAACAGGGAGACAAAACGGTGGGTTGTATAGGTAGAAGTGCAGGATTTAAATCATGGGACCTTGTTTTAAAACTGTGTAGCACACTGGTAAGTATAACGCATCATTTAGACAACTGTGTACAATTTTGGTTGCCACGTTCTAGAAAAGGTATTTCTGCTCTGTATCAGTCCAGAGAAGAGCAACCAGCTACTTTTCAGAACTTAAGGGAATGAATTACACTGACAAGCTGAAGGAACTGAGTCTCTTTAGTCTGAAGGGACTTCCCTGCACAGAAAGGCTGAAGGAACTGAGTCTCTTTAGTCTGAAGGGAGTGTCCCACACTGACAGGCGGAAGGAACTGAGTCTCTTTAGTCGTACATAGAGAATAGGAAATCTTACTACTGGATTCTGTAGTATTCAGAATCCTCAAAGATACTGACAGAGTCAAGCCAGGGGAGTTTTTCAGAAAGAACAGTGAAGCAGG